TTTTTTAATTTTTTTTTCAACTTTTATTTATTTTTGGGACAGAGAGAGACAGAGCATGAACGGGGGAGGGACAGAGAGAGAGGGAGACACAGAATCGGAAACAGGCTCCAGGCTCTGAGCCATCAGCCCAGAGCCTGACGCGGGGCTCGAACCCACGGACCGCGAGATCGTGACCTGGCTGAAGTCGGACGCTTAACCGACTGCGCCACCCAGGCGCCCCTATTTTAATGTTTAAAAGGCCATTCTCTATGCTTCTTGCTGATGATTAAACAAACTAACAAACATGCAAAAGAATGAGTTTGGACCCCTGCTTCATAGTATATATATAAAAATGAACTCAAATGGATTAAAAATCTAAATGGTAATGCTAAAACACATAGAAGAAGACATAAGAGTAAATCTGTGTGACTGTGGATTAGATTAGTTTTCTGCATAGGATGCCAAAAGCATAAAGCAACAAAAGAAAAAAACAGATAGATTGGACTTAATCAAAATAAAAACTTTGGTGCTTTCAAAGAATACTATCACGAAGGTAAAAGACAACCCAAAGAATGAGCAAGAATGTTTGCAAATCATAGATCGGATAAGGGATTTGTATTTAGACTATATAAAGAACGCTTTAACAACTCAACGATAAGAGCCCAATTAAAAATAGGCAAAGGATTTGAATAGATGCATCTTTAAAGAAGACACAGGCCACTAGCATTTGAAAAGAGGTGTAAGATCATTAGTCATAGGGAAAATCACAATGAGATACCACTAGTGTGGCCAGTGGGTAGTGTGGCGCTGCTCAAATAGTGGAAAATAACATGTTGGCAAGGGTGTAGAGGAATTGGATCTGCACACACTGCAATGGACACGTGAAGTGGTGCAGCCCCCTTTGGAAAACAGTCTGGCAGTTCCTCAGACAGTTAAATACAGAGTTACCATGTGACACGGTGACGCCTCTCCTAGGTATAAACCCCAAAGCAATGACAGCATATATTCAAACAAATACATATTCACGAATGATTGTGGCAACGTTATTCATAATAGCCAAAAAGTGGAAACAATCCAAATGTTCACCAGCTGATGAGTAGATGAGCAACATGTAGCCTATCCATACTATAGAGTATAAACTGGTCATAAAAACCCTTCAAAACATGATGTTTGGGTACAAAGTTTCAGAATGGAAAGAGGAAAACAGTGAAGGCAGATGGTGGTATGAATGTACTTACTGACACTGACCTCTACACATAAAAATGGTTAAATGATAGGGATGCCTGGGTGGTTCAGTCACTTAAGTGTCCGACTCATGACTTTGGCTCAGGTCATGATCTCACAGTTGATGAGTTCAAGCCCCACATCGTGCTCTGTGCTGACACTGTGGATCCTGCTTGGGATTCTCTCTCTCTCTCTCTCTCTCTCACTCTCCCTCTCTCTGTGCCCCTCCCATTTGCACTGTCTCTCAAAATAAATAAATAAAAACTTAAAATGTTTAAATGATGTTATGTATAGCTTACCACAATTAAAAAAAAAAAATGCTAAGTGAAGGAAGCCAGACACAAAAGGCTAAGATTGTAGGATTCTGTGTATATGAAAATGTTCAGCAGAGGCAAATCCATAGTGACAGAAAATAACCTAGTGGTTGCCTAGGGTTGTAAAGAATGGCGGGACACGAGGACCAATTGCTTTTGGATACAGTTTCTTTTGGGGGTGATGAATGTTCTAGAATTAGCTGGTGGTGGTGGCTGTACAACCTTGTGAACAAATTTTTAAAAACTGCTGAATTGTACACTTTAAAATGGTGAATTTTCTGGAATGTGAATCATAGCAATAAAAAATAGACGATTTATATTTATAGTTTTATGCCGTATTTGAAAGCCAATTTCAATCTAGTCTGTTGAATGGGGGAACGATTTCCTTAACGTGCCACCCTTCTGTAGCCTGTAGAAGCCTCAATCTTCTGAGATGCTCTTGCTGTTTCTTGCCCTCCCATATCAAAGCTAATTCTGTAAGTATTGCAGTCAGGAGTCTTAGTCATATAAAGACATTTTGTACAATACTTATTAAAAGCCCAGATTTGCTGCCGTTTGTTTAGCACCTGCTTCAGAACTGATGGCTGATGTTTTATGCTTCTGAGAGCTTCCAGAACAAGACCAGAGAGATTTTCTGAATCCTCTGGGGATTGTTTATAATTCCATTACAGATTGTCCTCGTGTATTAACAAGGTAATCTTGTCTTTCCCTTACTTTACTGCTCTGACCTTTCAGGGAAAATGTGATTTCAAAATTGGACACCATCCAAAGATGATGCCAGGAGGACAAAGGATGTTATTCTTGCAAGCAGGATAGTTCCAAAGAGGCAACCTGAGCTATAGTTCTTTGCATGTCTTGGATTCCCTTGCTGTTCAAAGTGTGGTCCACAGACCAACAGCTAGTGGCATCACCTGGCAACACTTTAGCAATGCAGAATTTAGGGCTCCTCCCCAGACTTTCTGAATTAGAATCTGCATTTTGACAAGATGTGGTGGTTTTCTACTCTGGCCAGAAATTCCTGGATACTCCTCTGTTCAGTGGAGCCTTGTTCCCCTTGCCTTGAATGTGGGCTGTACTTTGTGACTTGTTTCTAACAAGTGGTAGAAATGATGGAGTGTGACTGCCAAGGCTGCCGGCTCATAAAAGACATTGCAGCTTTCACCTTTCTCTCTGAGATCACTCAATTTAGGAAAACATACATGCCAGTAGTCACGTATGTGTGCCATCTTGGGAGTGAATACTGCAGCCCCAGTCGTGCCTTCAGATGATGCAGCCCCTGCTGACATCCTGACTGCAACATCATGAGGGACCCGGATTCCGAATCAGCCAGCTAAGCCACTCCTCAGTTTCTGACTCTCAGCAACTATGTTAGATAATGTTTGTTGTTTTCAGCTGCTGAGTTTTGGGGTAATTGGTTAAGTACAGCAATAATTAACCAATACATGACACTTAAGCACATTAGATTTGAGAAGCTGAACTAGACGGTGAACTCCTGGATGGCAGAGACCACGTTAGTCGTTTTCAT